TTATAATTTTGAATAATTTAAATGATTTATTAAAAAAATATTTTTCTGGTTTGGATTATAATATTTTTGTCTCTACTCTCTATGTCTAATCAAATACTTGGCAATTTGTATGATTTCATATTTGTTTTTGAACAACTTTTATTTGTTAAATTAATATTTTTGGTTTAAATAAGATGTATCTAATGTACGATACACTTGTATATACTTGGCGTAAATTTTTTTTTAATGATTAGTATCTCGATAACTATTGCGAAGATCGCAAAATGGTAGAGAACTTTTTTGTTCAGTTTGGTCCACTGGTCCACACTACCTGCCCACAAGCGCTGTACCATTGAATATAAGACCTTGTATATATATTTAATTCTTAATTAATGCTTCGAAGAGTAAATGAGAATGAAACACAGCATATATGTCATGGAGCTCCTCGCACTTACTGTACATTATCCCGATTAAAAGTTTATTTTAACTTTTTATATTAATAAATAAATAATGGTAAATGAATAGTGGTCTTAACCAAAATTGGGACAGGGACGTTAATTATTTCAAAATTATTTCATTCTCTTTTACCCCTTAAAATATTAATTAAGAGTTATGGAACATTTTGTATACACATGTATAAATGGATATGTATATGTATAAGTATATGTATATATATATATATATATATATATATATATATATATCTAAATATGTATGTATGTATATTATATATATATATATATATGTCTTATATCTCTTATATGTCTTATAGCTCTCTCTTTCTCTTAAATCAAATTATTTTTTTTCAATGTTCTTCTCTTTTTAAATTTAAACACATTTAACTTACATGTTATTTCTTAAATATTGATTTATATATTTTATAATTTATAGTAACAGAAGCTTACGTTAAAACTAATTTTAATGAAAAACATGACAATATCCACAACAAAAAAATTGGGTTTGGATCCATTACTGATGGAACTTTTAAAATAGAAGTCCATATTGTAAATTTTTCTTTAGATGAATATTGGACTTTACAAATAAACAAAGGAGACAAAATTGAAATCATCGGAATTGTTCAAGCTACAAGTATTACATATTATATTTATTAATTTTAAACTTAAATTTAAATATTAA